ATCTTCCCCCTGCTCCTTGCATTTCACACAGACTTACCTGCTGGGAAGGGGGGTGAAGCACATGCATGCTCAGCCCCCTCAAAATAATTTTTTTCCCTTCACCTATGTATATTATATCAACTGGATCTCTCTTGTCCACATATTTTTCAACGCCTTCAAAGAACTCCAACAGATTGGTGAGGCAGGATTTCCTTTTATAAATGCCAAGCTGACTCTTGTACAGCATATCATATTTATCCATGTGACTGCTCATTTTATTCTGTGTTATAGAGTCTACCAATTTGCCAGGAATGGAAGTGAGACTCACTGGTCTATTTCCCAGAATCACCTCTGAAGCCCTTTTTGAAGATGGGTGTAACATTGGTAACCTGCCAGTCTTCTGGCACGGAGGCTGTTTGCAATGATTGGTTATGTACCATTGTTTAACAGCTCTGCAATTTCACATCTGAGTTTCTTCAGCACCCTCAGGGAAATGCCAGCTGGTCCCAGTGACCTGCCAGTGTTTAATTGATCAATTTGTTCTAAAGACCGTTGGGACAATTTATTGATTTGTTCTAAAGATATTCACAAGACCCCGGGAAAATTAGTATGTATTTTACCCTTTTTACAGATGCTAAACTGTACCCAGAGAGATTAAGGTATAAAGGACTTGTTTTTGCTGCCCAATTTGAGACACCTAAGGCCGGATTTTTTTCAAGATACTTCAGCACAGAGGTCAGCAACCTTTCACTTGCACCATGCTGAATTAACACAGCTTGGTTTTAAGGTGGGCCAGCAGTTAACCTGACGCTTAGGTGGGACTTAGAAAAACTTTTCACTCAGACATCAGGTTGGAACAGGTTGTCCTGCCGAGTCTTTTATCAAGCTTTTCTTTTCATGCCTCACACTCCACTGAAGTCTCTAATGCTCAGCTGCCCCTCTTCTCCCCCCTCCCCCCCCGACACACCTGACTTTTGGGCATTACATGCCTGATCCTGAGTACCTGCTGCCCACTGTACTGCTTGCTGCTTTACCAACAGTGGGATATATAAACTCAATGTACTTAGCAGGCTGAATACAGTGTCTGTAGGATGGATCCAGCCTGTGGGCCATACCCTGCCAACCACTGCTTTAGCATGTGACAGCACTTTGTGTGTTCAGAATATAGCTCTTGCTGACTTCAGTTGCAGCTGAACTCTTAGCACTTCTGCAAATCAGTTCTCAGGGTCTGATGCCTGACATCACAAAAATGAGGGGCATCCAGTTAGTGACTGCCTGTGAAAAATGTGGTTTACATGACATACCTAGAATTGGAGGGAACTCTCTGGTAGACACAAAGGTACAATTCAGTTCTCCAGGGCAGCATTCAGCTGCTTTAACCGTAAGAGAGAGTCGTTTTTCTTCTTACAATCCTCTGCCTCATTCCTGCTACAAATGGAAGTGGGTCCTTCAGTACACAACACAGGTTCAGGCCTAAGGCAGCCTCATGTTGCCTGTTGAATGAGGCAGAGGTCCTATGGGGAAAAATTGTCTGATTGAAGGCTGCAATTTAATGCATACACAAGGGGGTGCACATTAATGTTACACAGGCAACTTCGTTCTGGTAATTCCTAACTTTTACATGCTTGACTTTGCGATCTTAATGTTCTTCAATGGAGTGTTTTGTTCTTTTATGAAACACCTGTGCATGTACACCTGTGCATCCTTATGCATCAGCACGTTGTGATTTTTTACTACCTCACCTTTACAAAAGTGTTTTAATAAACTGCTTGTGCATTTGATGTGCAAAATTAAAACAAGCTGCATAGAATCATAGAAAATTAGCTTTGGGAGGGACGCCAGAAGATCTAGTACAACCACCTGCTCAAAGCAGAACCATCCTCAACTACCTCATCACAGCCAAGGCTTTGTCTACCTGGGTCTTAAAAACCCCCAGAGATAGAGATTCCACAACTTCTCTGGGTAACCTGTTCCAGTGCTCTCTCCAGTGAGAGAGTTTTTCCTATATCCAATCAAAACTTCCCTTACTGCAACTTGAGACCATTGCTCTTTGTTCGGTCATCTGCCACCACAGTCCAGCTCCATCCTCTTTGTAACCACCCTTCAGGTTGTTGAAGGCTATTAATAACACTGCCTCCCCCCTCCCAGTCTTTTCTTCTGCAGACTAAATAAACCCAGTTCCCTCAGTCTCTCTTCATAAGTCATGTCCCCCAGCCCACCAACCATTTTCATTGCCCTCTGCCGGACTCTCTCCAATTTGCCCACATCCTTTCTGTAGTGGGGGCCCCAAAACTGGAAGCAGTCCTACAGATGTGACCTCACCAGTGCTGAATAGAGGGAAATAATTACTTTCCTCAGTCGGCCGGCAACACTTCTACTACAGTAGCCCACTGTGCTGTTAGTTTTCTTCGCAACAAGGGTACACTGTTGGCTTATATTCAGTAAGCCTATGCAAAGCTGCTAGTATTCTCTTTGGATTCGACTGATTCGGGGCACAGTGATTCTGCTGGGGTGCAGTAGCCGAATCTCCGAATCAGCCAGGCCAGGCCCATCCCCCACCTGCTCTCCCAGCCCAGCAATGGTTCCCGCCTGCCCCAGTTCCCAGCACTTGGGGGAAAAAAACCCTGA